CCCCCCCCCCCAACCCTTTCATTGTTCTATAATTCTGAGGACACTGCCTAAGATGTCCACCTGTCCAAGAGAACCACTTTTTTCCTTGACAATAGGTGGACGTCTCGAACAATTTTGACTGTAATACCATTATACTTACACTTTATCTCTCTCCACAACAAAAGCGAAGTTACCATCATTGTTGAGGCATATATCTGATCAGTGATTTGCTGACTTTTAGTCAGTTTGAACATGTCAGCCCTCAGCTAGCTATACATACTACATACAGAAGACTACATATGTGACAAATGCCTCATCACTGAACTCTTCAGACAGAAAAGAAAAATGGTACAGCTTTCAATTCCACATTAGATTATCCTACAATACTATCACTGATACCCTAACAAATTTAAGAAAAGTTTGTACACTTTTGTAATTCCATCTCATTTATCACCTTGAAGGTGTACACTAATTCAGGTAGGTTCATACATTTTACAACAAAATACAGAGGAAACCTGATATAAAAGGGATGGTGGGACCAGAGAAAAGGTCCTGTTATATCCGATCCCGGTTAAATCAGAAATGCAAAGGGAAGTAAGAATTTGTGTACTAATCCAATTGTATTTATTCATGCCTCATTTCCCTTGCCACAAGTACCCATTGGCAGGCCTGCGCATGACAATTTATGCGTGCGTGTAGCTAGGCTAAGGGCTACAAGACCGAAGTCTGCAGCACACCGCAGCCCTCTCTCGCTTCACCCAATGCTTGTGCTTGCAGCAGTAGCGTGGCTTGCGAGGGCTTGCTCAATCACTGCTTTACTCTCTCTCTTACTTTTTACACGTTGTTAACGAGCCTTTGTCCCTGCTATAACCGTTTGGGCTCTCATGATGCCCTGTTATTGCCAATAATTTTTAATAGAGACAAAGAGTAGGAAAAAATGGGGATTTAAAAAGTACGTTATTACCTGGCCTATGGTTACAACTAAGTCTACTCATTAAAAAAAAAAACATTACCAAGGAGAAAAGACAGATAGTCTCTGTAATTACAAATAAATGGAGACGGTAGGGTAATGTTTCTCGGTTCTTACTCCAAAATGCATTTTTTAAAATATAATAAAATAGTTATAAAAATAGGCCTTTTTAAAAGATTTTATTTTATTATTATGTACACTTTTGAGATCACAGGTGGTACATATATATGTGTGTGTATGAAAAAAAGTAATATCCCCATATTCATATGTCCTTTCTCCTGATGCCATGCTGTTTAACGAACAGGGAAGAGTATTTCATGGAACTGCAAACAAATTTGTGGCTGAAAATTTCTTAAAAGCAGTCTTTTAAAAACTTCATCTTACCAATAGTGCTCGACTTGAGGGACTGTTCAATAGCATCATAGTGAGTGGCAAATTTGTTGTGAATGCTGCCAATAGCAAGTTCTTCTTCAATCTTCTTTTTCTTCGCCTCTGCTTCTTCTTGTTCCAAAGCTCTTTTCTTCAGTAGAGTTGCTGCTCGCCCAGCCTCCTTTGCTGCTCCTTTGTAATGGGCCATTGTCTCAGTGCTTTGAGTCTATCTGAAAGGTAAAAAAAGACATCCACTCCAAATTGCTATTCTTCATCAATATACTGAGCCCTGGCTAGTTTTAAAACTTTCCCTCTTACTCTTTAGAGAATCAGGTAAGGAAGGTTTAGTTGGGTTCTTTTTGTTAACTTTAATGAGTTTTACTACGGCACTTGCAACACATAGATCTTCATGTAACATCAAGTGTGCAAGATTAGAGGTGTTCCTAGAGAGTAACATTCAAAGATATAAAAGAGAAAATTTAAACGAGCACAGATGTCTGATTGGAAAGAAGGAGCAAAGGAAGGGTGTACAAGTGTTTGCATGGATCTGCGTATGTGTAAGCATGGTTTATCATCATCATATTCATGCACTACCAGCCCACATGTAATATCACAAATCTCAGCTTGACTTTACTGCAAGCGCAAGTACTTGCAAAGGATGCCTGAACTGAACAGCTCTCTTTACTCATTATCTGCGTGGGGGCTAAACTCACATGCAGGGGCCAGTTTTCGGAACTAAATCTAAAAATAACAAAACCATTACTAAATTGGTCATTAAATAAAAACAAGTGAACCTATTTTGTAGTTTTTCATCTAATGAATGAAATTCCGATAAAAGAGACTTATTTTCTGAAACTGCCGAAAAGTAATTTGATGTCGAAGTCAACGTAAAGGAATGTACCTGAGCTGGCTCACCAGTACAGCGGTTCCGACCCCGAGCCGTCGGGAGCAGCTTGCCAAAGATAAAGAGTTAAAGTTAAGACACCTTTAACCTTTCATAACATTGGGTCGATTTGCGCTTCTTCCAGCAGTAGATTCAGATGAGGATAATGCTATGTTAAAAACCAATTGTGGTAAAAAAAACAACAACATTAAATGCAAATGCATGCAAATGAAAAGAGTGCATTTTCACACCATTAATTAATATAATTTCGGCAAATACTGCAAATATAAACGAAATCATCCATGTGCATTTTCCAGCGCTTTTTCGGTAGTTCCCAACCCGCAATTGTTATTGGCGGGTTTCGGCCCCGAGAGTAGGGGGGTTTCACGGTGGCTTGCCCCCGTGACCTTATTATCTTATAAAAATAAGGTGGGGGTTTCCCCCTGATTATACCATAATTTGATGTTTTGCAGTTGTTAGGTTTGATATCTCAGCTCGCCGTGCATCAAACGTATAGATCTAGATCTAGATTTTAGATGTAGATCTAGATCTCTAGGCTCAAATAAGGGGGGTGGGAACTACCGAAAAAGCACCCATTTTCCATCATCATGTGTCCCACTTGTAAAAATAAGTAGAGATTCTAGATCTAGGCTAGGCCTGCCTATTGACAGCAAATAATAGGCTAAGTAGCCTAATGGGCGCTTTTTCGGTAGTTCCCATCCCGCAATTTTATTCACGGGTTTGGGCCAAAAGAGTAGGAGGGGGGTTTCAGGGGGGCTTTAGGAAGGGGGGTTTCAGGGGGGCATGCCCCCCTGAATTTTACCGTAATTTAATGTTTTGCAGTTGTTAGGTTTGATATCTTAGCTCACCGCGAATCAAACGTATAGATATCTAGATATTAGATCTAGAAATCTAGAATCTAGATGTGTAGGTCAGGCTCAAATAAGGGGGGTGGGAACTACCGAAAAAGCACCGCCTAATGTAGGCTATTTTCACACTCAAGAGTAAAGAGACTGAGAAGAGATCTAGATCTAGATCTAGATTATAGATCAAATAAATCAATCTACAGTCTAGAATCTAGAAAATCCTCTGCTGGCCTAGATCTAGGCTAGGCTAGTTCACTCAACTCTCTGGTCTGTATCACAGACACAGGACAGGGGTAGGATTGTAGATTAGATCTAGATTTCTAGATCTAAATCTAGATCTAGATCTAGATAATCTAGATCTAGATCAAGATCTACTTATCGTACTGATTTACGAAAGAGGAGAACATGGGTTCTCACCTCCAGTGGTATCACAAATCTGATCCAATTATAATTAATTTTGACACTTCTTTTGTGTGTTTTTTAGCTGTGTAGTGTTGTCTTGTCGTAACAAAAACAGGAACAGGAAATACAGAGGAGGCGTCAACTAACCTACAAAATTTACAAGAGTAATTTCCCATGGTCCATAGAAACAAGCAATGGCGCTTGTGACGCGCTTACAGGCGTCCCAGAAGCAAGAAACTACGAATGATATCACAAGAAATTTACTATCCTTACAATTTGAAAGTGCTCTTACGGACGAAGAAAGAGAGTTCTTGGACTTACGAGCACGAAACCATGCCATCTCTGTTACACAATGTGCTCTTGTCACCGTCATGGTGGACATTTTCAAGAAAGCCAGGTATTGCAGAGTATTAGTATTAGCAACCGAGCAAATTGTCGAGGGCTTAAAAGATATCTTCGTCTACCATGGAACCTGGCTGGGAAATATGAGACGTGGGAAGCTTATAAAATCCATTTGGAAAGCATCAGAATAATTTGATCATTTATACGCTTCTTATGTTTCAGAGTGTTCAGAACGACGTAGGCCTATAGCCATCATAGCCTATGGAATTATCCCTGATGATTGCATTTTTTAAGGAGAAAAGGCTATTTAATAGGGAAGTGTGTTTTTAATATTGTTTTATTAAGAAAATACATATTTTTATTTCTGATTTTATTAAATTGTGCTTTCAATTTTTATTGAAAAATAACTTTTTTCAACAACGCAGGGAAATGAAGATGAACATTGTGAACCCAGACAAGAAAAGAACAACCCAAATACTGCAGGATGAAGGGGAACGAGACTCCCTCATTGTGGGTATCATTGGCTGTGGGAGACTGGGCAGTCAAATTGCCCACTGTTTGCTGACCTATGGGCAGATTCATCCAAAGAAATTGCAAATTTCTACACGCCGGCCTGAGACTCTCGGTAATTTTGGGACTTCTCTTAAAAAACATTTTTAAAATGTGTTGATGTTTCCAATTCAATTTTTCCTGTATTGACTTCCCATCCCAAGAGCATTTGTTGTGGTCTCAGGGAAATGTCGCTGAGATGTATACATATTGATTAATTGTGCACTTAAATTCCAAATTACTGAAATTTAGCGGGAGGGGGGGGTGAAAACATCAAGATTTCAGCCTGTCTTTAAATTGCACAAAATATTAATACACACAACAAAACATACCACGGGCAAGCTGTTTGACCTTTCAAAGCACAACTCAGAAAGCAAAACTTTTCAGGAGAGAGAAAAAAATCATTTCATTTAGTTAAACAACTGTACTTGCATTTCGTTTCTTTCTTGCTTTTTTTTTCAACATTTAGAATTCAAATTTTGACAATATCTTTCTTGGGCACATGCAACCTATACCACAGATTAAGCTAGCATCTGCGTTTGTCACGGCCGCGATTTTTGACATTTTTTGGTCCACGAATCGCGGACTCGATTTTTGCATTTTTTTAAAAATAACCAGAAAAAACCCCAACCCCCAAACAAACAAAGCTACTTCATAATATATTAGATATGTATTTTGATAAGTTTTGAGATGTCCATGTGTGTCTATTTTCATGCTGAGAGTATAAGAACATTACTTATATACTGTTTAAAGTACCGTTTGTCTTTTATTTTTCCCTCTTTGTTGTGCTTTAATTTGTTGTTGTGTTAAATTTTTTTAAAATGGTTCTGATGTGTTGTTTTTCTTTTCTTTTCTTTTTTTGTGTGTTTATACAGCGTAATGTCATTTAATGTGATGCTGTTCCTACCCTTTTAAAAATATAAATGTGTTATGTTAGAGCGTGTCTCCACCAAAACCGAATACTGATACTGGCACGCCCCTTGTGTGTGATTCCATAATTTATATGTAGTATCCTGTAGGCCTACTTTTTGTTGAATTACTCCCATTTAGGGTTAAAACAGCCGATCTTTGGATAGGAGGACAAGCGCCCTTATTTGTTAATTTTTGGGTTTATTTACCCATGCTGTTCTAATTCTAATTTCATTCTGTTGTGAAACCTTTATTTTTCACGTTTTGACACTCTGGGTGGCTACAAATGATATTCAGGATGCTTAAAACAGAGCACAAGAAATTCTGGTTCTTAAAATTTTTACCTCTACATAAATCGTCCCAGAGAGTTGAACGCTTGAAAATTACTGGCAACTTTTATGGCAACTTTTGCCACTTTTTGTGGCAACTTTTGGACAAAAAAAAGGCAACAAATGCAGATGCTAGGTTAAGAATTACAGCAATAATAAAGAAAAATCCCATTTTAAAGCTTAGTAAACCAATTTTGAAGAGCTGGCTAATGAATAGAAGACCAAAAGCTTAAACTATGTATTTTTGGGTGACTGCTTGAAAACAAATATAGAAACTTTTGCTTTTCTCTCACAGAATACCTTCAACACAAAGGAGTGGAGTGTTACTACAATAATGAACGCCTCATATCTTCTGTTCACGTGGCAATATTCTGCGTCCTGCCCTCACAAATGCAAGGAGTGGCTGAAGACATCAAGGATTATGTTTCTTCATCTTTGATCATGATCTGTCCATTCAGCAGTCTTTCTCTTCGAAGGTTGAGGCAAATGCTTCGCAGTTCCAATGTCATTCGGCCTGTACTACACTGGGACAAAGGACCCCAAGACAGACAGTACAACCACAGCGTCAATATCAACACTGCCCTGGAAAATAAAGAAACTTTGCTGGGAACCTGCCCTGTTGGTGTCGATAAATCAAGTAGGTTAATTGGATCAAATGTATTCCCATTCTCCACTAATGTATTTTAAACTATAACTATAAAAGCATTTTTCTTTTTCTTTAAAGCGTACCCATGCTAGAGTTGAGGGAGTTACTGACTGTAAGATCTTCCTCTCATAGTGCAGTTGGTTTTAATGTACTTGTCTGTTTTATCTACTTAGAAGAATATAGAATAATCCCTTGCTGATGGGCAGACACGTGCCGTTTTAAAAGATACGGTACTCTTTATATTTATACTGACTAGAGTGGCTTCAGTTTTGGGTCGGAATTAATTTTTCAATTTTACCCACAAACCATAAGCACTTGTTTTATTCATCATTCCAGAAAAGGACCTCTATTGTTTTGTTGAGTTTGTCCAAAGTCCTATAGCCTATGCGGAGACTGATAATCAAAAAGGGACTCTATTGCCTACAGATAGCCAATGTTATCATGACCTCAAGAATTGACCTTAAACTGTTTTCCTAGTTGTTTTCTTGTGCTGTTAACTAAATCTGATTATCAGAATCGTTTCAAGCTACAGGCTGGTGAATTAAAGAAACAAGTTTTCATTTAAAAAAACAATAGTTCCATCTTTTCTAAAATATCATTTTCCACACTACTTATGCAATCTTAATTGATCTTCAATTTTGATGTCTTCATGCAGTCAAATTAGTCACTAGGACATTTTTTTGACTTTTATTAGTAATCATTTTGATGGTTCGGCATTCTTAAAATAGTGAAAATATTACTTTAGAAAATTGACTGAAATCAATACTTGGAGCCTGTCCCCTCTACCCCTGAACTTCAATTGAAGTTGAGCCCCATCATGTTCAGTACCAAAATATTCACTAGGACTTTCCCTATACTATAACTATAAATAAAATTACACTTGAATATCTACATCAGCAAACAAATCACACTACTTATGCAATCTTAATTGATCTTCAATTTTGATGTCTTCATGCAGTCAAATTAGTAAAATTTTAAAGCCTGTTTTCTAAACATTATATCCTTATATGCTACCCCACTAAAAGTGCAATATCTCAAAAACTGTTAGAGATATGTAAAAAAGAAATTTAATCACTTTGGTCAGCATTGAATTTTCTATTAGGGACCCCACGCCCCTCTTTATCTAAATTTTGTTTAAAATCTGACTTTTAGTGTCTTTGTTCAAGCACACACACACACACACATATCAACCTCTCACTTGCAGTGCAAGATGTTGTCTTCTGTCACTTTTCTAAATGGCGTATGTTGGAGTCTTAGATTGTGTTAGTATGTTCTTGCTTGGTGAATTTGAAAGCGATGAGTGGATCCCATCCATCTTATGGTTGCATTATATATCATTTCAAATTTATTAATTTTTTTTTTGTTTCTAATTCGATCTTGTCAGATCTGGTAGTGTGGTCAGATGAAAGACTTTTTGACATCATCGTCCTTGCGGTGATCAACATGTGTGCAGATCAAGGAATCACTCAGGCCCAGACTCTCACTGTCATTCACGCTGCTGTCTTCGGGGAGACTCACAAGAAGCCCCTTGCTTGTGAGCCCTTGACAGTGTCTTCCTTTGATCTCCCAGAAGGAAAAGAAACAAGCATGTAAGGCATTAAAATTAAGGGGTTGCCATTTTTTTTTTCGATGAAGTTACTTTCTTTTCCCATTTTACCTCTGTCAGCCAGCTGCAAGTGTGCCGTAGATAGCATTAGGTACAAGGGACAGAAAAGGGAATTACAGTTAAACTTATTCTTACTGACCACCTGATTAAGACAATCATCTGTAAAAATGAGCACTTCTATGTCAGCCCAAGTGCTTTTTCTATATTATAATGATACTGTCCTTGAGGACCATCTGTCTAAGATGACCACTTTTCTCCTCGACAATAGCTGGTCGTCTTGGACATGTTTGACTAGAATGGTGAATTGGAATGAACAGGAGCTGATCAAAAGAGTTGTTATGAAGTCATGTGGTCCTTATTTGGGATAAGCATTTTAACTTTCTTAGACAATTTTTTACTGATGGCTACTCAGTACTCGTTTTACTTTTGAAAGGAATTGTCAAAGTCAAGCTGGGCATTTTACTTGTGTAAGCGACAAACAACGCAGCTCATGAATGTTTTTGTTATTTTCCTAAACTTTTCTCAGTTTTCATTATATGCCTCATTTTATTTTCTTTACTGGATTCTCCAGGCCCTTCCCATTCAGTGACTTGGTGGATGCACATGAAAGTGGCTCTCCTCTCATGAAAAACATTCGGAGCAACGAGGGCATAGTGGAAGTGTTTGTGAAAAGATATTGTTTCCTCTTTGAGGATTATATCCACAAAAGGGCCTATGGACAGTTGTCCTGAAAAGTCCTTTTTCCTTATCTTTTTTTATGTTACTACTATTTCTGCTGAGTTGATGTGCCTCCCCCTCCCCTCCCCCAACTCCTGAATAGTAATTCTTATATGTACTGCTATTATGAGCATGTGATAGTGCACTGCAAAAACAACAACCAAGGTGACTTTTGCCTCTGAAGTATCTGTCAGTCAGCTAAATTTGGTCATATCAAAGCCTTAATTATTTTAAAACAGAGAGAATGTGTGTGTGTGTGTGTGTGTGTGTGTGTGTATGTGTGTGTGAGAGAGAGAGAGAGAGAGAGAGATAGAGAGTGAGAGAGAGAGAGAGAGATAGAGAGTGAGAGAGAGAGAGAGAGAGGGGGGGGGGGCAAACGTGTATGAGTGTGTGTGTGTGCGTGCATGTGTGTGTGTGAGTGTGTGTGTGTGTGTGTGTGTGTGTATGTGTGTGTGTGTGAGAGAGAGATACAGAGAGAAAGTGAGAAGCAAAGAGAGAGAAAGGAAGAGGCAGAGGCAACAAGTGAGGAAGAAGGACAGTGGTACAAAGAGAGAAAGAGAGTGTATGAAAAGACAATGAGAAAGAGAATGAGCAAAAGTGAGAGAGAGAGTACATATACAGAACACATGTGTCAGGAAGCGATGGAATCAGGCGCTCATCAGTTTCTGGTAATATGAAGTTATTGGTATCATCTTAAAGGTTGTTCATTTGTATTGCTTTCGAAGAAAAAAATATCCAGTTATCTTGAATGCAACTCGAGATATTTGCGACTGAATGAGGTAGGGTTCGCCTGGTTTCAGAGGTAAATTAGTGGAAAATGGCGGCCAAAGCTTTGTTATTTCCTTAGCTGTTAACTTGAGAGTCTGTGGAAAATGAAAATTTACATTTTTTGTGCCTTTGATCAACATTTTTCAGTGTAATCCACACAGAAATGTGTTCTTTAATTTCAATGGGCATGAAAGGAGTTGAACCAAAAAACGAAAATTCGATAACAAATTCCCAAACCTGCGGGAAAAAATGCCAGTTTCTTCAGTTTCTTTATTTTGACGAGCGCCTGATTTCATCACGCTTCCTCACATTTGTACAAAGTGATTAGACTCATTATTGTGTTTTAAGTTTTGATGCTAAATCCCATCAAACAAAAGAATGTGGCATCAACTATTTCTCCGAGTGATGTTTCAGTACATGTATCGATTAAAACTGTTCCAATAAAAGAAAAGAACTTCCAAAAAATGTCAGAGTTGTAAAAAGTTTTATTTTTCTATGTAAAAAGCATAATTGTATCACTAATTCATGGGCAGGCCTGCGTAATTGTGGCTTACAAATGCTTTTACCTCTTACAGAGTTCCATGGACAACAGTCGCACATACACACAGACCCAAACATTCACTTGTCTTTATTATACATGAACAGGAATCATGCATATAAGCAGGTATCATTCACGCTACTTTCTTTGCCATTAAAGAAATAAAATTAGCTGAATATGCCCAACTAGTAAAAAATCATGCTCACTTTCAGTTCTCTACTTTAATTATAGCATTTCTGTGCAAAGAACATTCTGAGTAAAACAACTCAAAGGTCTAGACAATGCACACAGTCAAACCTGTGTCATTCTTTCAACCTCTTCTATCATTCTACTCCACATAAGAGGAAATTCAGGAGGGTTGAATAATGCCACCAGTATTGGAAAATTTACAGAAATGCAGCCTACATTAAATAGGGGGGGAAATTTCTTGAATTAAAAGATGCAGAAAGAAAAGAGAGCCTGTTGATTTGTGCAGGTGCTTTGTAAGAATACTCTGCATGTCTTAGTGAGATGGCATCAATCACGGCTTGCTAAAATTGAAAGTCTCCGGATAAAACCCGAAACATCGTATTATGTCAACACTTGTTTCCACATAAAGCCTTACCATAAAGCAGAATAGAGAGCGATGTACATTAAAGTCGTTACTTTAAAAATACAGATGATCAGACTTGACCACCATGCAGTATTTTTTTTTTAAATATGAAAGAAACAGGAGCCGCCTAAAGGGGTGGGTGGGCGGCGGGCGGTTAAGGAAAATATTTGAGAATGGGCTGATGACCAGTGATTTAGTGTACAAGTATGTCATGACGGACGCTGCAAGAACCTAGCCCTTGCTACAGCAGCTCTCATTACAAAATGTATGCAGTTGGTTTTATGATCACCACTGTGATGAATTATACATGTATTGTATATTATCGTAAACACTTGGGGTAAACACATTCCAATGCTTCAACGCACATCTCTGAACTAAAAGAGAATATAGATTTTAAAAAACACAAAAAAAAAAACAACAACAGACATTAGAACGACAAGGCAAACTCATAAAACACAAAACCCACAAGTATAAATCTTACACATTGCAAAATAACACATTCAGAAACGTTGCATATCCAAACAGCTAAAGCCTTTAATACATGTCATATAAAATAACTTGAAGTACATTTTCATTCCCCCCTCCCCTCACTCTTTCTCTCGCACAAACACACATTCATACACACATACACACACACACACACACACACACACACACACACACACACACACGCACATGCACACACACACACATGCACACACATATGCAAACAGTTTATAAACTCGGCCAGAGCAAAAACAATATATAATGATAATAAAGATATATTTATATATCCTGCTTCCTGCCACAGATACTAACCTTCCCTCAGGGAACACAATCCAAATTTACTAACAGAATAAGAAAAGATTTCAACACCAAGATCAACACCAAAAAAAAGCGAAAATATGAGTACTAACCAAATACTCAGAATCCAAAAACACTAAAGAAGTTAAAATTTAAAAAAACAACAAACAAAACAAACAAACAAACAAACAAACAATTCGAGAAAAAATTAAAAAGGGAAATTGTTTTTTGAAGCGAGGGTATGAATGAAGGATGGGGAAGGGAGAAGGAGGCTTTCAATACTTATTACAACACAACAGAGAGAAGGCTAGTAGCTTTGACAGTGGGCAACATAGGTATGATACACATCAGCACCATCAGAAACGTGGCTCCTGGTGGCCGAAACCAGCATCAAGAGATGTGTGAGAGAGTACACGACGGGTCGGGGGGGGGGAGGGCGTGCTATACATGTACACACTCGTGTCATTTACCTCAACACAGGTCATAGGGGGATGGGGCTACACACTTTCGTACCTCGTCACACAGTGAATATTACACTCCCATCACTCACCCCCCAACAATGTGGTTATGTACACATTAGGAGCATGACACAAGCAAAGGAGCATTTACGCTTTAAACAGACAAAGGAGGAAAACATTTGGTGAGGTTCTTGTTTCAGGAGCCTGACTATAAATTCTATGATTCAAAGAGGCATTCAGCTGTATTTATTGTTACAAAACCCCTTCTTAACAGCCATCTTTTTCTGGTTAAACTGGAGGATGGGGGTGAAAAAACCCACCATGGCTGAAACCCCCATCATTAACACCACCACCTCTTTGTTGCTTCTTTCTTGCGTTCTTATTCATTAAAGAAGGCTAAGTTCAGTCACAAGCATGACAGTTAACTGTAGAAATCAATAAAAGGGTTGTTCAATAGGAACAGATTTTTCCAACTGGAATTATAATACAAAAAAGAATAACTCAATCTGGGCATCAATATCAGGGAACTGGGTTATCATTGCAACAATGATCCCGCTTTACAGATTTTGTCTACCCTCAAAGTAACGGCCAAAACTCCTGTCTCCATTAACATTATATAAAGAGAGACGGGGTCGTGCTATGATGATAACAATTTTCTGACACATACATAATTGTTCAGCAAAAAAACTTACAGTAACACAATCCAATGCTGTTTGTCATTCACTTGCATTCAGAAGAGGGGACAATTAATCGTATTATACACAACAAATGCTGTGAGCCCTGCTGCACAAAAACATTATGCCAGTTCTTGGATTGATATTTGAAACTACTCGGGACCATGATCAACACAGACTACACCTAACGCATGCACACACTTGAAATGCAGACCTCTGCTGTCTAAACTACGACACATGCAAAAGACTGTCGTTTATAGTAAACAAAATCAGAAATTCACTGTGAGCAGATGTCTCTTTGTGAACAGTCAAAGCTGCAGCCAGTTTCAATTTAGGATTTTGTTTCTTATAAATGCTTAGGCCACAGTAAAAATAGGTCAGTGCTTCCTCACGCATAGATGTGACCATTTGGCAGAACATTACAGGTACAAGACTCAAGTTGACAAAACAACTGGCAATAATTACAAAGTCCTTTTAAAAAAAACAACAACACAGAAAATCAAAAGAGAGCACACACTTACTTACAGACTTCCTAGTGCTAGAATCAAAATACAAACAGCAAAAGACATTAAATGAAGTCATAAAAATTTTCAGCAGAACCTCTCATATCTTCTTGAACACACTCCATTGATTACAAAGACTTGATTAAATATACATAGCTATGTACACATTATGACCTTGCTAGCTCGCTGAATGGACAAGCCATTGTTAGATAGTGTACATAGACAATTTCATGCTGCATGAACAGAGCAGAGATACAGCCAGGGCATTCAGGCTGGGCCCATGCCATTCCCCTTGATTCTTTTCCGAAGACGTTTTCATCTTTCTGGTATTTTCCTCATTCCTCATAACTCGTAACTGCACCTTCTATTATGAGGTTCGCAGTCTGCAAATCTGACCTAAAAATGCACTACAGTGAGACATTTTTAGCAGTTTTATTGTCAAATTCATTTGAGTCAGGATGGAGGCAAGCGGTTTATCTATTTTTGAAAACCTAAAAACTAAAGAAAAAAATAATTAGAAAACACAAAATACACTAGTTGGTTCAAATATTTAAAACAATACAAACTTTGTTGGGGGTTTTTTTCTCCAAATACACAAAGCTTTCCATAAGCAAGGAGTTTGTGCAATAATCAAACATTCCTTCTTTTGTTTGAATCTTTTTCAAGGTTACCATACAAGCTCAATCAACAAACCTTCTGAAAAAAACCTCTCTGAACCTGTTCCACAACAAATTCCTCTCAAAAAGTCCTCAAAGAAAAATGACAAACAGTCTACAGGCTGAAAACCCTGGCCATCTCATGAATACATTGATTAAGGGAGAAACATAATTTACATGATAAATTATATCAAAAGAAAAAGTCAGTCGATAACAGATTTGTCAACAAGTGAGAAGGCAAATGACAATTGCTTACAAGTTCAACATAACAATTACCACTTGAAACTCTCAACCAGTGGCTCATCACCACAAGGGCAAAAGTTAGCCACGAAACTCACCCAAGCCAAAGACAAGCAATAAGTGTGCACTGCGCAAACATCCACAAATACCATCACTGAAAATGATGCTGACGTAGTTGCTCACAGAGGAAACTTTGAGGACTCACTCCCGCTTTCTTTCTTTAGTTTTTTGGAGGAAAAAAGAAAGCAATAAGCACTTATTTGTAATATACTGCTGTTATTTATTCAAGCAGACTTTTTTCTTATTTAATTGCACACATAAGATCAGAGTAACAAATGGCACCACATAATGGACTGGAGTCACTAAGTTGGATGTGCTTTAGATTACTGACAGTCAACTTTTGACTCATTTCTCAATTCTCATCCACTAAAAACATAAAAGGAATCAAAGTCAAGCACTGCTAGGAGAAGCATCTGTAGTGAGTTTGGATTTAAAATCAAAGATCACATGCCAGATTGACAGTTACACCTACAACTACACTCCAAGATATGAAGGCAGATGCACCGTAAGATGGTATTTTCAGTAAAACAAACACAAATATCTTTCTTCAGAACACATGTGGGCATGCCTATGAAGAGAACCCAAACATAAGTAGACGTAGATCTGAGAAGAAGCTGAATAGCCAAAATAAAGGGAATTTCATCAGGCCTGGAGGTAAATACTGTTCCATCAACTTTGGACATATGTCATATCTGTTTCATTCTCTGAAGTTCTACGATGAAATACACCAAAATGTTCATCATAATCTCCCTACACAAGAAAATACGAACCTGCGCAGAAAGTACACCATGTAGGCATATCTGAATACATTTCGAAATACTCATTTCCCCCCTAAGATCCATCACTATCAACATCAAGAACACCTTCTCAGGCACACCCACAAGAGTTTATCACAGAAAGCACAGCGAGAGCATTTTCAGAAACCATTCACTCGGAGTAGAAATACAATGTTGCAGAGTAACAAAACCAGTAGGAAACAGCAAACTTAATTATAATCATCTGAAGAACAGATGCATTGTGGAGCCAAGGCAAAGACAAAGAATGGATACAGTTCCTGAGGATTTTTTTGTGATATCAGACCATGTCAGGGGGAAAGAGCCCTCATTTGAAATGGCTTTGGACCAAAGGAAAGCAGATAAAATTCTTTAATTCACCTTCAGGAAAAATGAAGTATGCCTACAGGAGTGCGGATTCTTCTCATACAGGTCCATTCCATAAAGCTATCAATATTCAAAAAGGGTTTTCATTACACAAAACTTATCAATCTATAATGCTCTTTTCATGGAACATTTTCAATGTAATTTCCTTCTGGATCACATTTTTCCTTCCTTCATTCCACCAAACTGCGCCACATAAATCTTGAGTAGAAATCACTTGCAGCTTCAGAAAGGACCTCATACGGACAGCATTTCCAAACATAATAACAAAAACTGTTCCACATAAACAAGATATTAGAAAAATTTGTTTTTCAATAAATATTTTGGTTTACAGAGGCAAACAGTGAAACATGACATAATTAAGTCAACAGCTTAGTTCAGATTATGGTTCCAAAACCAGACCAGTTTTGCTTGCTTTTTCACATAGACGAGGACAAACACAAGAGAAAAAGCAGACAAGAAAAAAAAAATAAAGCACTGGTAGAATGAAGAATGTAAAAAGATAAATCATAAGGCATAATTTGCATAATCAGTATCAGGATGGAATAAATCCTTACTTCTCCAGACTTTAAAAAGTATTGTCTTTTGCTCTGGAACTAACTCAGACCTAGAAATCATTTGCAAGTGGAAAATATTTTAAAAGTGCAAGAATGTACTTCAATCAAAAAGCAACGACATCAAATGAACCATCATAATTAACTTTATACTTACTACAGATTAGAAACACTTCTGGGAAAGAACATAGTGTTCATTTTCTACTGCTTACAAGGAATTTTTCCATCCCAATTGTAAACACCACTTTACAGTAGCATAAGTTAATCTATAATACCAGCACATGATGCAAATATCTTTTTACAATTTTAGCTTTGTAAAGTGAACTCAGAACAGTATTAGGGTTAAACCAGACTACCTCCCAAGCAATCTAAACTGTGCTGATGGGAGTGTATAAGACTTATAAACTAATATGGATTCCTGCGGTAAAGCAGATATGAGCAACAGCTTAATCCTTTAATCCTTCCCAAAAAATTGCAGCTGAGAGCAGTTCACCACCTTCCTACACGTTCACCTGCTGTGGTTTTGCTCTGTCCCTGGCCTATTCCACCTTCACTTTCTTTCATCAGATGGGCCATTACGATCTGTATTTCTACTCAAAATCATTTAGAAAGTAAACGGCTCCTTAAGGGGAATACTGTCTGGCATGCCATGATCCAATATGCCATATTGAGAAACATTCCAGGCAAAGAGAAGCAAAGTGGTAAAAAATCACCTAGAAAGGCCATAGATGTGCGAAGAGCAAATTAAAATGATGATACTGAAAAAGAAAAATACAAATGGGAAGCATAACGATCATGTAGAAATGGTGGTCAAAGATGTAATGAACCGCTCAAGGCACACACACACACACACAAACACACACACAAACACACATACAAGATTCCATCAGTCACCGAGACCAAATGTACAACTAAACAACAAAATGGCAGTGGTCTGCACCAAGTGACATCTATAACAGCAGATCACATCATTGCAAAGGACATTTTTGTTTTTAAGAATTATATATATATACAATATACATATATTACCACTGTAAACAAATTGAACCAGAGTAGCATTACTAAAGATCCAATTCTGCTGGTACTAGCACATTTCTGTTTGCACAAGTACAAGTGCAGTACCGGTACTGTTTGCATTATAACTTATAACAAGCAGTACAGTTTGTACATGTATTACAATTTACTACAAGTACAATTCTACTTGTATTATTGCAAACAAAGCTATTTGCATTACTATAAACTTCAGCTCAAATTATGTCAAACAAAGTTCAGTTTGCATCATACCAGTTCTGCTTGAATTAAGATAACAAAGAGGGCATTTCTCGCATCTTCACAGACACAGTCCTGTTTCTATTCCTACAAACACAGGACAACTATGGCTGAAATGTCTTGACATTTAGGAGACTATAGAATACTACAAGCCATTGTAAATAGTAAATCAACGAACATTTTGCTTCAACACCCAGTCCACACCAACTCGTTTTTACTAACGCCACTCATAACAGCGCCACAGTCAAAATCTTTCACCTGCATTGCAAACGTTGAAAAAAACTGAAAAAGTAAGGGGACAAGAGAGTAGGGCAGTCATACGCTGAAGATAGAAAGACAAAAGTCTGCACAGTTCAAAAGAAGCACGTAGATACAGGGTGGGTAAAACAACTCAAAGAGAGACAAACAAAGATAGACAAAATCTGACAGAAATACAGACTAGACAAGGGATCAAAGAGGAGGAAGAGGAGAGGCGAACAAACATCTACAAAAGACATGCGAGAGAAAGAGAAACAACGAACAACTGAAGAAATACAACATAAGAGAGGTTATAGGTGGCAGACACTGCATACAGCTGACCACAGAAGACAATGACGGTGATGACGAAGATGATAACACGCAGTCTACTCGTGCCATCCACCAGTAAGCTTATGAAACATTTCCTCGTTCAACGACTGATTCTTTTCGGAAGAGCGCATGGACAAGAAGATGTATCCTCCGATGAACTCATGGAGGGTCTTGCATGAACACTCCATAGAGGCGAAAGTTACTTTGTCCTGTTCAAAGTCTAGAATAACGTTCTCTACTTCCCAGTTGACATGCCATGACTGCAGGGTGCTGTAGCGCCAGGTCTTCAGGGAGTCCCCAGAGTTTAGATCCATGCGGATGATGCGGTTCTGAGCTATACCCATCAGCTCCTGGATGGAATTACAAAGAAAACCAAGAAAGGGTTACAAGTTTGAAAGTCAAAGTTCATAAATGGAAATAAAGAGAGAGTAGAGTTGGATCTAATAAATGACTCAAGAGTGGATATTGCACAATGGTAAAAATTTGGGCCGTCACAAAGTAAAGAAGCAACAATTCCCCCCCAACTCCCACCCAAAAAAACCCAACAACAACAACAAACAAAACAACAAACACTATGCCTTCTCAACTATTATAGCCTCAATCCACTTCCCAATTTCCTTCTGTCAGTCTTCAACACTCCATCTCCCTTTCTTCCCAATTTCTTTTCTCTACTTGTATGCATTATGTGTATAGATGTTCAAATACCAACTCTTATGTATATACACAAACACATATTATGACTCCTTTCTTTCTCATATCAATACATTATGAAACATTACAGATATACATATTTTTGATTGTCAATGAACCACATTTTAGTTAGTCTGATAAGGGCTACATTAAGTAAAGAACAGGCTTCACTCATTTGATAATGAGACAGCACAGAAGTAGACAAAACTGACAACACTAGAGAACCCACAACCAACAAGCAGATTGATGATAGATAAAACATACGAAAAATTATATATTTTAGCAAGAGTTCTACGTCATTTGCAACACAATCAGGTCATATAAGAGCAAAAAGACAAGGAGTTACAAGAGTAGAGTAACAAACACAAAAAAAGAAGGCTTAGAGATAAAGACAATTGTTGTTTGATAGGCCGACGTCATCTATTGAAGCAAACCACACCAAAGCACCGACTAACCACCCACAATGTAAGAAAACGAAGCTTTGTACAATCCATATATATTGGTAGATACAGTAAAGGGGCTTCCAGTACACACCTCTTTCTTGCCATTCGACATCTTGATGCGGAAGTAAGTGATGCCATACTCCGGTAATGACTGCCAAGCCTTGATGTATGCCAGTTTGGCTTCCATCAAGTTCATCTCCTGTACACTAGAGTGGGCCTCCATGATTCTCTGGATCAGCTGGAACATTTCAAAATGAATGTTGAACACACGGAAACGCAAACATAATTTCACAAAACAACTTAATTTGTTTGTGTACTTTGGGGACAAAAAATAAGAACAAATCTTTGTGACTGAACAGAAAGATCTCAAGAATTTTCTGTTTTTGTGCAATAAAATAAGATAATATTATTTATTCTTTAAACAGTTTTATGCGCATAAATCTAAGTCTAAGCCATCAAAAAGTAAAAGATCATTTAATGAAGTTTTGACAGTTGATTATTTTCTTCGTATTCCAAAAATTGTACACAATTGAAAATGAATACTGTACAAAAGCTGAAGCCAGCAGACTATTGATATTATGTAGACAATAAAAACATGGTCAAAACTAGGCTTTGTTCCAGGACTCACACACACACAAACACACACACACACACACACACACACACACACACACACACAAACACTCATCCAAAACACACACACACATACACACACACACACACACACACACACACACACGCACTCACACTTTGAACCCTCACATTGGTAAGGCTTACCACACACTGACAGCAAAAAAGCGTAGTTACCACCACTCACCGATTTCGACTTGATTTTCTTGAAAAACCTGGAAGCAACATAATCCTCCGGTTGTATATCGGCCTGGTTAGGTGTGGTTGAGAAAGAAGTTGTGTTGGAGCCAGGGGAGACCACTGGATGCTGCATTCCCAGGAAAGACTGCAGAGCCTGGACCTCAGCCTCGTAGGAGCTGTCGGCCATGGTCTTGCCCTTAGATGCCAGCTTGCAGGCAGCCATCCACTTGCAGTACTGCTCTTCCTGCACACGAGACAAACATTCTGGTTGGTGGGTTTGTAAAGAACTTTATAATTCTGTCGACTACAGGTGATATGATGTCGTCAGGGGAGTGAAAAATAGATATTATGCTCATCCGATGTTCAACTTAACTGTTGGAAAATTGTAAAGCCCCAAAGAAGAAGTAGAGCTGGGACCCGCGAAAAATATCAACTCAACTGAATATCAACTCGAGCGAGTTCAACATAAACGGAGTCGACTGTTGTAATGATAATAATAGTAATAATAAATGACAGTTTAGCCTTTATTAAGTAATGATTACCTCTAATAACCAAGTAGGCATTCTTGTTGATGGTTTTGTGAAATTGGGTGTTAATAAAGAAAATAAGAAGCAAATTAACAGAATAATGGTCAGAAGTGCTGACGACAATGATGAAAGAAGTAAAAAATACTGGAGAAGGGACATAAACAAATACAACAAAAAAATACAAACATAGTGTGTGTGTGTGTGTGTGTGCATGTGAGTGAGTGAGTGCGTGCGTGTGTGTGTGTGTGTGTGTGTGTGTGTGTGTGTGTGTGTGTGTGTGTGTGTGTGTGTGTGTGTGTGTGTGTGTGTGTGTGCATGAATGTGTCTATGTTAGCTTATAAGTGTGCATGTGTTAGGCACGCGCATGCATGTGTGTGTGTGCGCGTGTGCGTATGTGTATGAGTGCGCAACACACATGCATGTGCCTGCATGAGAGAAAGAAAGAGAACCTCACCATATCAAATCGTAGACATATTTCTGACATTCCTTCAGGCTCTGGGACAAACAGCTTGATGCCGTATTTTCTGGCCGATAGGTTCACATCAGGTTGAGCCTCACAGCCTGGAAGAAATAAAACATACAACAAACTTGAATAAATTGCTTGTCTAATATGCGATTTAAAAATTTGTTAATTAAAAAAAAAAAATTGGGGGACGGGGTGGTGTTCATACTTTGTGGCGTTGGTGGCCTAGTGGTTAGGCTCTCGGACTCGCAACCGTAAGGTCGTGGGTTCGAATCCCGTCAAGGGCCCGACGTTGTGTCCTTGGGAAAGGCACTTAACACGAATTTTCCTCACTTCACCCAGGTGGGAATGGGTACCTGGCTATAGACAGCGAAAGATCTTGTCAGTTTGTTAGTGTTTGAGCGCTTAATCGGCTGCTCGCACTGTATGCTTCCCAGGAAGCTGAGAATGTTTCGGAGTGTTCTATGGTCTGCTGGGGTAATAATATAGTGTAAAGCGCATAGAGCCTGCTGCTGAGCGGGGATATGCGCTATACAAATGCTATCTATTATTATTATTATTATTAAATAAGATCATACATATGAAGCACTTTGATCTTTCATGAAGGTAATTATAGTATCAAGACATGAAGAACACTCTTGTGTGTTTGAGTAAAGAGAAGTACATCATCACAATAATGGTCATTCAGTGCTGGCTGGTAAAAAGTAAGACAGTCACTAGTCAGACACAACAGAGGGAAAGTAAAGAAATAGGACCTACCTACCAGTGGCGGCTTCAAACCACCTCCCCCTAATGATACTTTTCAAACAGAACGGTATATGATTGGTATCGAGGTATTGCCTGTAAAGTCAGGGTAAATCATAGTATCGCTGGCTGTGGTGTGGTATGATCTGCTACGATATTGCTCAGTATTGAAAGCTGTTCTTTTTTTTAAAAAAAGTTTTAGTGGAGGTTTTACGGCGCTCGCAAGTGCATAAGGTCTTATGAGCGCCAGAAGATTAGAGGTGTTATAAGAGAGTAAGAAACATTAAAAAGAAGAAGGGGAGATAACGACGATAGATGTTTGATAGGAAAGAAGTAGCAAACCACACCAGAGCACCCGCCAACCACCCACGCATGCTGTCCAGTATGATACTGAATGGTATAATGCAGAAAAATAAACGAGTGGTATAACACGACACATCATGCCTAAATGGTCCTTTAATAAACATAACGCCGTATCTAAATCAGAGAGGCTAAGAGTGTATCACTCACATTTGAAAAAAACACAGAAGCCCCACAATGTATGTGCAAACTTTTAAAAAAGAAGCCATCAAACTTCAAGAAACAAAGGGGTTTTTTTAACAGAAAGAAAACAGTTTTACATCCCCTTGAATATAGTACAACAGACTGGCTTATCGTTTTCTTTCATTCAAGAAATAATATTAGAAATCTTGGTAAAATAAAAGTACCACAAATACATTCTTTACAGCCTACTGGTTGTTGTTGTCAGCTATATTATTTTAAGTCGAATGTTGAAAGCTGACTTCTCGACCGAGATTGCACCAGCTGTAACTTACTGCTGTAAGCTCGCCCAAGGCCTAAACAGAAATTACTCATTTCGGGGTTCCTTGACCTACTGGGGGGGGGGGGGGGGTTATTTCTGAACCAGGTGTGTGGTGTGTGGGGACGGGGGCGGAAGTGAGGAGTGTGCGCGTGCGTACCTTGAGGCTAGGCTCACAGTAACACACCCGGCAGTGAGTGGGCGTGGTGGGGCTTGTGTCGGATAAGCAGTTTTTAACTCTTTGGTGTTTGCGAGATCATATTTATACACACACACACACACACACACACACACACACACACACACACACACACACA